AAAAAGATAGAAGCAACATTAAAGGAGATAATAGCTAAGAATTTTCTAAAACTGGTATCATTTCACAAATTCAAGAGACCTCCAAGGATAAAAGAAATCTACACCTTAAATTTGCAGCCTGCCCAAAGTAGAAAAACAGTCTAAAAGATTTCAAGAAAGTAATAAACTAATACTGTCTTACCATAAGCAACAATGGAAGCCAGAATCCAGTAAAATGGAGTCTTCAATGTGCTGTGACCAAATGCCTATAAATCAGACTAACTTTTTGCATTCAGAGCAACTGAAACTCTCATATTTTGTTAATGCAAATATAGTATGTTGCAATCATTCAGGAAAACAACTGGCAGCTTCTTATAAAGATAAACATACATTCATCATATACATAAGCAATCCCACTCCTAGGTATTAAAAAGTCAATAACCTAGATATTCCTTTACCTTAAGAGATGAGCTAATAATAACAATGGTTGTCCATTTTCTTTTTTCTTTTCTATCACTTTCAGCCATCTGCCTGTCTTTGAAACAACCCGTTTTGAATGGTGCCACAATCTGAAAAACATCAAGAGCAAAAAAATAGAAATGAGTAGATTAAAAGTAGAAATAAAAGGGTTAATAGAGACAATGTGTTGTTATTGTTGTACACCACTGAGTCATATCCTACTAACAGCAGGAGAAGACTGCCCCTCCTTCTCCAGCAGAGCATCTGGTGGATTTGAACTGTGTGCCTCTGGGATTACAGAGCAGCTTCGTGCCATTAGGCCACCAGAGCTCCCCAATAGAGATATCGTAACTATTTTAAATAATATTTCAAAGTAAAAAAAAAATTGGCACTACAAATGTATTCTATAGATTATACGATCCTCATTTATATAAAACGTTGGAAATAAAATTAATTTATAATGACGGAAACAGAATAATGGAAGACATAAGAGGAACGGCGGAGAAAATTATAAAAGAGGAGGAGTGAACTTTTAGAGGTTATGAGTATGTTCACTATACTGATCATGGTTATGGTTTCATAAATGTGCATACATACATGTAAAAATAAAGCCATATACTTTAAATCTATAGTTCAACAATGCAAGAAGTACATACAGACACATTTAAGTATTCACACACATCTATTAAAAAGCTCAAACACAAACTCACTGAAGTGATCAAGTTGGAACAGATTCATAGCTGACAAAGCTCACTACAAACAGCGTAGACAATCTAGCTTCATGTAATTTACAACCTGAGAGAGCTGCTGGAGGATCAGCTATGAGTGCATTCCCACTCAGCAATGAGTTTGAGCTATCCATCCATCCATCCATCCATCCATCTGTATATATCACATACATTAACTGAAACTTTGTACAGGTTTTAAATAGAGCAAAAAAATGTTTAGTAATTATGAATGTATAGACTGAATTTTGTTTCTCAAAAAAGTATGTGTTGGATACAGTCACAGCAGTCAAAAAACCCTGCTACTCTTTTGATAAAGTATCACACACGCCAATGGAGCAGAATTAAGAACACAGAAGTAAATCCAGTTTCTCTACAACCTTGCCAGCATTTGTTGTTTGCTGTTCTGTTAAATTTTGCTATTCTTACTGGGGTAAAATGATATCTCATAGTTGTTTTGATTTGTATCTCACTTATAGCTAGGGATTCCGAACATTTCTTCATGTGCTTGTTTGCCATCTGAATGTCTTCTTTGGTGAAGTGTCTCTTCATATTCTGTGCCCATTTTTCAACTGGGTTGTTTATCTTGTTGTGGTGCTCAAGTACTTTACAAATTCTAGACATAAGACCCTTATCTGACATGTCATTACCAAATATTTTTTCACAATCTGTGGCTTCCGTTTTTACCCTGTTGGAGAAGTTTTTGGATGTGCATAGGGATTTGATTCTTAGAAGGTCCCATTCCTTCCAAGAATTAAACTGGAACCCTTATTCACTCTTGGTGGGACTGTAAAGTAGTGCAACCACTATGGAAAGCTGTATGGCGCATTCTCAAAAAGTTGCAAATAAAAATTCCATTTGACCCAGCAGTTCCACTACTGGGAATACCCTAAAGAAACCATAACTGCCACCCAAACAGATACATGCACACCTATATTTATTTCGGCTTTGTTCACAATAGCAGAGTTGGAAACAACCCAAGAGCATCAACAAACGAATGGACAGAGAAGCTCTGGTATATTTACAATGGAATACTATGCTGGAATTGAAGAATTAAAAAAAGAACTTGCTCTGCACTTCTCAAGCTGAGAGAACTGAAAAACAAATTTAGGCCTCAAGTCACAATATTGAAAGATGCTATGGGCAATATATTGAATGACTCAGAAAGCATCAAAAGAAGATAGAGGGAATACACAGAATCATTACCAAAACCAACTGAGTGACACTGAAAAATTTCAGGAACCACAGAAGGAGCCAATGGTAATGAAGGAGGAAGTAGAAGCTGCATTGAAGGTAATAGCAAAACGTAAGGCCCCAGGAATCGATGGGATACCAATTAACTTGTTTCTATTAACACGCTGCCACAAATGACAGTAATACATTGAAGGAAAAAAATGTGTTTCTAAGCCCAGCCATCAACTTAAAAGTGTGCGGCAACGTGTTAACAGATGCACCCATGGATGTGCTCACCAATTTATGCAGGAAATTTGGAGGACCACTGCCTAGTCAATGGATTGGAAGAGTTCCATTTTTGTTCCCATTCCCAAGAAAGGTAATCCAACAGAATATGGAAACTATTGAACAGTATTATCAATAAAGCATGTAAGCAAAATACTACTGAAGATTGTGCAAAAATGGCAAGATTAGTACACAGATAACGAACTGCCAGAAGGTAAAGCAGGATTTAGAAGAGGCTGTGTGGCACCAGGGATATAACCACTGGTATCTGATGGATCCTGACTGAAAGTAAAGAATATCAGAAGAATGTCTATATATGCTTTACTGACTATGCACAGGTATTTGACTGACTGTGTGGATCATAACAATTTATGGCTACCATTAAGAAGAATGAGAATTTCAGAGCACTTAATTATGCTCATGTGAAACATGTATCTAGACAAGGAGGGTGTTTTGTGAACAGAGCAAGGGAACACTGCGCGGATTAAAATTAAGAAGGAGGTATATCAGGGTTGTATTCTCTCTATAACTATTTAATCTTTATGCTGAGCAAATTACTTGAGAAGCTGGACTCAAGAAGAGGAGTGTGGCATAAGGATCAGAAGGAGATTCATCAATACACTGTATTATGCAGATGACACAATCTTCCTTGCTGAAAGTAAAGATGTGAATCACTTGTTGAAGAATACCAACAAATAGAGCCTTCAATATGTATTGCATCTCAATGTCAAGAAAACAAGGATTTTTACAACTGGATCTATACGTAGCATCGTGATAGATAGAGGAAAGATTGAAACTGTCAAAATTCGCCTTACTTGAATCCACAATTAACCCCCTTGCTACTAACAGTCAGGAAATCAGCAGAAGTTGTACCCCTAAGTACAATATATTGTTTTTTCATTAGTTAACTGCTGCTTCAATGAGCACTGACTATGGATTCAAGTAAAATGAAATATTTGACAGTTTATAACAAAAAAGGTGTTAAGACCCAAAGCATTATATTCTTTATTATGATATAATCCAATATAAACATTTCCTATAATATAATGTAATGTGTACAATCAGTTCAAGTCTGACCAGTACTGGAGGGATCCTAAATCCAATTACTTCTGACTTAAAGAAAAACGTTTACAGACACAAAATAAGCAAGTATAAACTACAGAAGTTCAATGCCATCTGAAAATGTCCACCAGATTATGTACTTACTTAAGTTTTCACAAACCCAAGAAACCAAGGACTGCTCTAAGCTACCAACAAAAAGAAAATGACCTGGCCTAAACCCTAGTTTAGAATTGCATCCTCCAAAGCTATGAGAAAATACACTGTTTTTAAAAGTCACTCACTTGGGATTATTTCTTATACAGCACCACTAGCTAAAACAACGACTGCACTTTTCAAATTATCAAATTCTGTTGCATCAGAAAAGCAACACAAAAGTGATACCAAATCAATTTTGACTAAGTGATCCTATGTACAACCAATCACTGCCAGGTCCCTTCTCATCTTCACATTCACTGCTGTTTGTGAGTCTATTGCTGCAGTCACTGTGTCAACCCATTCCTCTGTTAGTTTCCCCTGACCTCTACTTTACCATACATAATATTCTTTTCCTAAGGAGCTGTGATGGCAAAAAGCTGTGATGCAATCACAAAGGCAAGCATTTCGAGGCCACTGCTGCTCTACAGGAGAAGGATGGGCAATCTCTGCCCGTCAATTTCTTCCTCTGAAAACCTGGAGAGTCAGCTATGAGTCAGTTCTGACTCTAAGGTACACACAACAACAAATATTCTTCTCCAGGGACTGATCCCTTTTGATAACATATCCAAAGCACATGAGAAAAAGTCTAACTATCCTTGCCTCTAAAGAGTATTCTGACTGCATATTTTACAATACAGGTTTGTTTTTCTGGAATTTCATGGTATATTATATATTCTGTACCAATACCATGACATAGGACAGGACAAGGTTCTGAGCTGTTGTTCAAAGGTTACTATGAATGAGACTATTAATGGCACCTAACAACAATAACTCTATTCTCAAGTAGGGGGAACCTAAGTCACCACTCATTAAAGGTGGCTTCACATAGTGACTTCCTTCCAAAGACTACACTATAGAAAGGGGAAAATAAAGAGTAACTTTATAGTGAATAAATGTGTAAACTCTACCTCAACGAGGTCATCAAAGTCTACATCAGCAGCAAAAATAACATAGACAGTCTGTTCTCTTGATAGGATGCTGTTGCCTTTCTCCCAAAAATCCATAATTCTAGTCTTATAATAAGAAAAAGCATAATGTTCTGGTAGAGGGGTGTGCAAGAGAGCAATACCCAGGATGAGATTGACTGACATAGTAAGTGAGATAATGGGGGTAGGTGTACTGGAGGCAGTCAGACTAGCTCAGAATAGGGCAGGTTTCAGAGCCGTTGTACAGAGGGTCGCTGTGAATTGCAGTCAACTTGACAGCACATAACAACAACAATAAGAAAAATATCATTAATGGACAAATTCTATTCATAAGATTATCTTACAAAATACTTGAATAGTACTTCTCAAAATCATCAAGGTCATAAAAAATAAGGAAAGTTGTATACCTATGGTCATAGTAGCTCTGTTCACAAGAACAAGAAAATGGAAGCAGCCCAAATGGTCATCAACAAATGAATGGACTGAGAAACTGTAGTACATTCACATGATGGAATATTATGCAACACTAAGAAGCAATGATTTCATAAAATACTATCTAACTTGGGAGAAACAAAAAAGCATTTTACTGATTGAAATATCTCAATCACATAAGGACAAATATTGCATAAGGCCATTATTGTGAAAATAGGAAGACAACCGAGTAAAATGTGTACAAATGTTTAAGAGAAAGGCAAGAAGGGGGGCAGCAGAAGGGGGGAAAAATCACTGGGATAGCAGTGGCTATTGGGTATGTGGGGGGGATGAAGTAATGGAAAAGCTTTAACAGGAGCTTGAAAAGATGGAGTGAAAATAGGCATAAAGCAATTATATAAATTATATAAAATATAATGCCTACCAATGATTGTATACAACACAACACGTAAAAAACACAACATATATAGTTATACACAAACCAATAAAAATTAAAAAAAATAAGGAAAGTCTAACAAACTTCCAGAAGTCAAGGAAATGATAAAGAGACATGACAATTAAATATACTGTGGTCTTTTGGATGGCTCCTCTAACAGAAAGAATATTAAGTAAAAATGAAAGAAAGGACTTTGGCAGTATCAGGATGGATGGTGAAGAGACTGAGATTGTTAACAACTTTAGTTTGCTTGGCTCCACAGTCAACACTCTTGGCACCAGCAGCCAGGAAATCAAAAAACATATTGCGATGGGAAAGTCTGCTGTTAGGGACCTCACCAGGGTACTGAAGAGAAATGGCGTCACTCTGGAGACTAAGGTGTGTATCATACAGGCTATGGTCTTTGCACTCACTTGTTATGCATCAGAGAACTGAACAATGACTAGGGAGGATAGGAGAATTGATGCCTTTGAGCTGTGGTGCTGGAAAAGAGTATTGAGGGTACCATCCACGGACTGCCAAGAAAACAAACAGATTCATCCTGGAGAGGGTTAAACCAGGCTGCTCCTTGGAGGCAAGGATTCTGGGTCTTTGTCTGACATACTTTGGACATGTTGTAAGGAGGGACCAGTCCTTGGAGAGGGACATCATGCTTGGGAGTGTGGAGGGACAGCGCAGGAGGGGAAAAGCCTCTGTGAGGTAGATTGAGTCAGTGACTGGGGTAATCGGGATGGGTGTGTCGGAGACAGTGCGACTGGCACAGGATAGAGCAGGGTTTAGGGCTGTTGTACTTAGGGTTACTATGAGTCGCAAGCGACTGGACAGCACATAACAACAACAATACAAAACTCTTCTAAAAAAAAGAAAATGTTTTTAAAAAAATCTTAGTTCTCTTTCAAGACCTTGTAAGAATCCTACCTTCCTTAAGGAACTAGCTCTGATTCCATCCACACTAACTGAGGCTTCTCCTTTCTCAGAATAAGTTTTATAATGTGTTGAGAATATTTTTATAATTTATACATGCATTATATTTCCCCTAAGTCATAAGCTTTTTGATGTTACCCAAATTTCCATTCTCTATGCTACTTAATACAAAATTAGTTCAAAGCAAAATTTAGAAACCAGATAATCCAAATGAAAGTCACTTTGAACGATGTTGAGTTAATCTCTCCCAAGGCAGTTTCATTCTACTTTTGAACAATTCTAATAATTAGAAAGTTCTTCCTGCTGGGTTTAAACCAGCTGTTCTAGAATTTGCTCATTTATTGCATGAATGATTGAATGAATGTGAAGTTAACCAGCTCCATGAGAGCACAGGCACCTTATGTTTTACCTAGTGTCTGCCTTCAGCACCTGACACACAGGAGGCACTCCAAAAATATTTGTTTTTAAATTAATAAATGGAGTACTGGCTGGCATAAGAGCAACAACTTTTGTTTCCTTCCATACAATTTAATTGGCTACCTAAATTGTTGTTGTGTACGGACAGGTCTGAACTGACTTATCGCTGACCCTTCAGCAGGCTATCAGAAGCAGTAAATTGCATAGGAGGACACTGTCCATCAAACTCATTGCTGATCAGTTGGTTCCAACTCCTAACAATTCTCCATGGAGTTTTAGGGGCTTCACAGAATCTTTATAGAAGGAGACTGCCCATTTTCCTCCCTCAGAGCCACTGGTGGATTCAAGACACCAGAGGGGGTAAGCCGCCTTTGGGTTAGCAGCATAAACCTACGGCTAAACACGTAATAAACAGAGCTCCCCGTTTCCATAATGATGTTGTGTACAGTCATGTCAGAACCAACCCATAACTGACCCTCCAGCAGGTTTTCAGAGGCTGTTAATCACATGGAAGGAGACTGCCCATTCTTCTCCCATGGAGCAGCTGGTGGATTCAAACCATGTATGTTTGGGTTGGCAGCACAACTCCTTACTACTGAGCCACCAGAGCTCGATTAAACACTACTGGCCAAAGATTAGATGAGCTGTGGGATGACACCAAGGACATTCATATGAAGAAAGCAAAAAAAAAGGAAAGGACCAAAAATGGTTATCAAAAGAGACTGAAACTTGCCCCAGAACCAAAGAAACCAAAAGGCGCACTCAAATTTCAATAATAAGTTAAGCGTTGTCAAATAACCTCCAGCAAATCGCGTTTCCAGTCGGTCCCATCACTGCCAAGCGAAAGGTCAGCCTACAGTGATCTTCACGCTCCATTTCGAGCTTTCACTTCTTAAGATTCTTTTCTCTTGTGGAAGGAGGGGAATAAGGAGAAAGAAATGAAACACTGGGTCTTTGTAAAAAAGAAAAAGAAAAGAAAACCCCTCATAAAGCTGCTGAAAAGGAAGCAGTTCCAACAATTTTCCTTGCAAAACACGAAACTCCTTTCCACACGTGAGGCTCCAAGAGCCCTCAAAGCCCTGAGGGAAAAGAACTTGACAATCTAAGAGGAAAAAATAAAACAAAATGCATTTACAACAATGAAGAATGTAAAGAGAAAGATCTGAACGCCATCATACCCAAAACTGCAAAGAGACCTGAACGCCTTGTCTCTAGACGGAACTTCAGCCGCCCAATTTCCAGAACTTTCCGGCGCCTAGCAGCGGAGCCTGCGCCTGCGCGCTCTTCACGCCCCGCCCCCACGCAGCCCTGTCCACTGCGCAGCTGCAGAGCTGCTGGCCACCGCCTGGAGGCCAGTTTTGAGGTGCTGGCGTGTTTCTTTCCTTGTACGTGGAGCAGCAAAGTGGTTTTTGCTTTTATGATGTTAGACTTAGCTGATCAAGACTAGTGTCGAAAAGTCTGGTTTCCTAAATATACGCACAATTCTTGTGCCACTACTATTCTCAGTCTGAAGCGTACATGGTTCGAATCCACCAGCTGCTGCACCCAAAGGATGAGCAGTCTCCTCCTCTCATGCGATTTACAGCCTCTGGAAAGCTGCCGGAGGGGTTGGATCCGACTCGAGGGCACACAACACCCTTCTCTCTTAGTACATTTGAAAGGGAACCTGCTCTCCATCACTGACCCTCCAGTGGGTTTTCCAGGCTGTTAAGTTGACCATTAGGTTAGCAGAGCAACCCCTTACAAACTACGCCACCAGAGCTCATTCTACTTTTAGCAACATAAAGTGAACTCCATTTGAGTCAAAAGAGGGGAAGATAGAGGCTCAGACTTTAGGCCTAAGGAAGTCTTTAGGTACTGGTGCTCTTTAAAAGTTTTAAAAGAAAATTAGTAAGGAGCTGACTCTGCCAACCCAAAGGCAAAGTATTTGGAATTCCCCAGCTGCTCTATAGGAGAAAAGTGGACAGTTTCCTCCCGTGCTCTTTACAGGCTCTGAAGACCCACTAGAGGGGTCAATTGCGAGTCAGATACAACTTGATGGCAGTGAGTTGTTGAATTAGAGCTTCATGTTTAAGATACAAAAATATGTATCTTGTTTTATAAAACACATATTCCTCAGTAAGGGGGGGGGTGTTCTAGGAAAAAGCCTTTGAAGCGTGTATGTAATATGGATTTCCTAAAGCAAAACATTTTATAAATTGGGAGGGTTTTTTAAACTGATGCTGTTAAAATTAGGTGCGTTCTTTTCACTACCTGTGTTCAACAGTTTATTCAGGCTGCAGGGCAGATCAGAAGAACCAAGACAAGACCCCAGCCACACTTTCTGGGCTTGAGAACTGAAAGAGTTGGCTTAATGCTGAGGTGGTGCATCCAGACTCACACGAGATTGAGAGTGGCTAAACGGCCCACTTTTGGAAGTTTTTCACATCTCAGACTAGGCTAACAACAAAGGGATGGGGAAAGCATTCAAGATTAAACAGCAAACTGTCTCAGATAAAGTGCACTTGTGATACAAGGCTTTGCGAAGACCTCACCTGGGTTGGGAGTTGAATCAGGTTGTAGAAGTGAAACTGGCAAAAGAAACAGTAAGGTGGATCCATGCTGGGGAGGATAGTGAAGTCCTGGCAGCCTGACAGAATGATTGTGGTGGTGGTTGTTAGGTGTTAGAGTTGGGTATATTCATAGCAATCCTATCAACAACAGTCCTGAACCCTGCCTTATCCTGTGCCATCCTCACCAACCCTGGCTCATTTAAACCCATTGCTGCAGTTACTGTGTCAGTCCATCTCGTTGGGTGTGTGTGTGTGTCTTTCTTTCATTGGTTGCCCATCGTTCCAAGAAGGAGGTCCCTTTCCAAGGAATAGCCTCT